ACTGTGTGCCACTCATGGCCTGACGATCACGAACACCTGGTTTGCACTGAGTGTGAGTGATATAAAAACTTAGACACACCCACGGAGCGGCCGCCCTCATTTGCTCGACTGTGTCATCGTACGTCAGCGTGATATGCGTGAAGTGCGCATGACACGTGTACTGCGTGGAGCTGAGTGGGGCACTGAGCACAAATTGGTGCGGACCAAACTGTACATTTATTTTCGTATATCTATGTATTGCACTCCTGCCGACAATCAGCTTAAATTTAACATTCTCTCCCTCGGTACTGTGGCGAAACGCACTGAACGGGAGAAGGCAATGGCTGCACGCCTGTGTGTTGTGGACTGCATAGCCACAGTGGGTGACATGTGGCACCACATTTGCGACCAGATGACAGCTGCTGCCGAGGAGACCATCGGGCGCGCAAACTGTAAGCGACCTGATTGGTTTGATGACAACAATGCGACGATTGGCGCTTTGGTGTCGGGGAAGAATGCGGCGTTTGCTGCACATGTTGCAGACCCCAGTGACTTGGGAAAGAGTAGTCAGTTTCGCAAACTTCGATGGCGACTGACCCGAGAGCTCCGTCACATAAAAAATGCATGGTGGATGGAGAATGCGAAGCAGATGGAATGCTACGCCGAACGCCGCCAGCACAAGGAATTCTTTGACTCCTTGAAGGCGGTGTATGGACCGAGATTGGAGCAGCTAAGGACGCTGATCGATGGTAGTGCAGGCGCTACCTTCACACATACTGCAGACATAATGCAGATCTGGCGGACTGTTTCTTGAACAACCGTTCATTGCTCCACTGGTCTACTTGGAACGGTCTGAAGCAGTAGATGTGAAGATGAGTCCGGCGGGCACACCGACACCGGATGAGACGCAGAGAGCACTTGTTCAGCATCGAAACCGGAAGTGTGTCGGTGCCGACCGGATCCCACCTGAAGTATTGAAACACGGCGGACCAGCCGTGCAACATGTGTGGATTGAGGAGAAGGTGCCACCTGATCTGAAGGATACTCTTGTGCTACCACTGTACAAGGGCAAAGGTAGCAAGCAATGTTGCACGAATTATCGTGGCGTCAACTTGCTGAGTTGTGTGGGCAAGGTGATTGCCCGAGCCCTGCTCAACTGCCTCGTCAGTCAGGTTGTGGAACCGAACGTGGCGGAAGAGCAATGTGGATTCCGTTCGGGTCGCAGCACTATAGATATGGTGTTTGCGGCTCGTCAGTTGCAGGAGAAGTGCAGAGAATGACACCAGCCATTGTACTCGCTTTTTGTTGATTTCAGCAAGGCATTTGATACGGTGAACCGCGAGACATTGTGGCTGGTGTTGGGTAAGTTTGGTTGCCCGCGTAAGTTTGTAAGTTTGAATGTCTGCACAGTGGTATGCGATCGCGGGTGCAGCTGAGTGGAGAGACCTCGGATGATTTTGCAGTTGTCACTGGTGTGAAGCAAGGCTGTCTTAGCTCCTGCCCTGTTTAATATATATCTTCATACAATGATGTCTTGTGCTTTTGATGCGGCTTGTGCTTACGCTGTTCGTGTGGAGCACCGTATTGATGGTGGGTTTTGGAATGTTCGTTGTTTCGGTGCGAGAACTCTAGTCTGTGAGACAACTATCCGTATGTCGCTGTTTGCTGACGACCGTGCCTTGTTTGCACACAGCGCGGATGAGTTGCAGCACATGACTAGTGCTCTGGCTTCGACAGCGGCAAAAGTCGGGCTCACCATCAACACAAGCAAAACTGTCTGTCTCTTTCAGGCTTCACCGAAGGTGTAATCTTCAATATTGCTGCGAATCAGCATTGGTGCTGTAGTATTGGAAACCATCTCCCGCTTCTACTCCCTTGGGAATGTGATGTCGACTGATCAGCAGCTACACAGTGAGCTGCGTTTCCGCGTGTCGAAGGCAGCGGCGGCATTCGGGAAGGTTGAGTACCGAGTGTGGAACAACCATCAGCTTAATGTTGGCACGAAGCTGATGGTGTACAAATCCATGGTGCTGTCCGTTCTTCTATACGGCAGTGAAACGTGGACGATGTACCGTCGGGATGTGCGATATCTCGAGCGGTTCCATCAACAGTGTTTGCGACGGATTTTGCGCATCGGTTAGTGCGCCAGAGTTGCAGACACGGAAGTGTTTTGCCGAAGTGGAATGTATGCAGTGGACTGCATACTTTTGCTGAGACACCTGAGGTGGCTCGGTCATGTGCGTCATATGGCTTCAACGCGGATACCGAAACAACTTTTATATGGTCAGCTGAATGTTGGGAAGCGGCATGTGGGGAAACCAAAGTTACGTTACCGGGACATGATCAAAGTGAACCTGTCACGTTCTTATATTGATTGTAGATCATGGGAATCGAATGCGGTTGATCGGCGTGGATGCCGCAATCTAATCACGAAGGCAGTTGCCGAAGTTCGGGAGAAAGACTTCATGCATGCAGAGAAGAAGCGGCAAGTGCGGATGCGGCAAGCGCCGATGGGCTGTACTCCATCGACATCGAGCGCTTGGCGGTGCAGCACATGCGGTCGCGGGTGCCTGAGTCAGGCAGGCCTAGTGAGCCATGAGCGAGGCCACTCGGGACCACTACCGAAGCGACGACGGGTCCTGCAGAGAACGCAGGCCGAAGCGGCGCAGCGTTTGTAGGTACGCTGCATTCGATTTACTAACTGCGTGCTTGCATGCTAAGTCTGTTTATTTCAGGTGGTTGGTTTTCAATTTTGTCCTAATGCTTTTCTTTCTCATATAAATGTCCACCTGTACGCTCTTCTATAAACTTGCACAACTCGCGTAAACCAAATGTAGTTAATTTCGATAACATTTTCGTGATTGTATCTTTTCCGTAAAATATACTTTCTGACCTCGTGAACTTATCTCGGATGCTTTGTTAACAACTTACTTCAGATGCTCATTAATTTAAGATTTTTGTCAGATTTCCTTATGCATTACTCGATTGATTTTATTTGTTAGCTTTCTCCTAAGTGATTGGCTGTTGCTTGATATCCCCGGTGTGGCTGCGCTTGATGTGCATGTTGACAAGGTGCCTAATTGTCTGTTACCCACTACGTCGTCCATACTGGCTTTAGGAGACAGTTGGTCGTTGCTGGAGGGTACGGGGTGCACGGTCCTTGTGGCTGCGTTAGGCTTGAAGAGTGGTTCCATGCACTCAGTGTGGAGCGTACTACGGTCCAGCCACCGCCTTGTGGGTGATTGATTCCCAAATACAGCGTGCTTGTGTTAGCCTTTGAAGGAGTGTGGGCCGGCTCCGTTGATGAAACGTGGTTCCCATCCACATGCCTCCCGGTCTTATTTCTTCGGGTTTACACTGTATACGGGGTGTATGGTTGGAGCTGTGCGTGATGCAGCGCAAGTCACCCATGGTCCCTCCGTAAGCGCAGGCGTCCTGTGGTTGTACCCATGGAGGCGACAGGACGCCTGCGCCTGCGGAGAGATCATGGGTGACTTGCGCTGCACCATGCACAACTCCATCCGCATACCACGTATCCAGTGTAAACCCGAAGCTATAAGACCGGGAGGCATGTGGATGTGAGCAACGTTTCATCCACGGAGCGTCAGTCTATGAGGAGACATTGAACCTTCGAAAACCATGAGGAACAGAGGGAGAAAAGCTAGTACATGTGTCATACAAAGTGAACAATTGTTTATCTTTTTTGTGTGTTCTTAGTTTTTATCTCACATACCACTTTATTCATTTCTGTTATTTTGTTTGATATCGCTGTAGTTACCTTGTTCAAAACCTTTAACTGTACTGTTGTTCGCTTGATACCTGCTTCACGCCATATCAGCAAGTGTGTCGAGCCGTTGGTAATCCTGATATTTTGGCCCCTAATCCGGGATTACTGTACCACTTTTCTTCTCTTTCGAGCACGTCTTTTGGAGCTTTAATTTTCACACTTTACGGTTGGGGTGATGCATAGAGCTTTTCATGGTCTGTACGGCCGTCCTATTGCTGCGTCCCGCGCGGTTCGGATCTCCACGCGGCGCAATCGGATACTATCACGATTTGGTCTCACTGTAGACCTGTTTGTATCTGGCTGTCTTAACGTAGTTCCTGGGGATGCTTATATGTCCGCTTATAGTGAGGAACTACATTTCAGTCTGGGAATTTCCATCGTAAAATGTATTCGTTGAAGACTTCTCAACTTTTGTTTTGACTCCATCGCTCAAGTGGGTGATCGGTGCGTAATGTTCTCTTCATGCTACTGTCGTTTGGACTGTGCAAACGCCATCACATGTAAGTAACGGTCGAACGAAAGGCCTTCATTTCTTAAGACTACGCACAAACTCTTGTGAAGCACTCGCATTCAAATCACGACCAAGTTTGGCTTGTATTGCCTTCAACTTAGCCATCCGACGTGACGAAAGTAAGGTCCAGAATGGTTCCACGTATTAATTCCCACCGACAAGCAAGCGGTGGCACATTGAGCGCAAGTAGAAGCAACACTGCCATCTAGCCCGACCGATAATAGCGCGAATTTGTAGACGTGTAATCATATTCAATGAACTCAGACAGAATGTTTTAAAGATTTTGAGTGTGAATAGGATGATCAAGTAGCTAATAAACAATATGTTAACAATCACTACTGGTGCCATTGCTGCATCCTCCGTTCATCCGCAGCACTTGTTCTTTATTTGCATCTTAGTTTTCCTTGTGTATACTCAGCACCGATAGGCATGCATATTGGTGCAAACTATCAAGTCTGGTGGATTCATGTAGCTGACACCTATTTTTGAGAACACTGTACCCATTTCGTGGATTGCTTCTTTTTTCGATTCATCTTATTGAGATACTTATCTTCGGTTGTTAACATGCCCCAACGGTTTTAAGTAGCTGTCTGTAAAGCTTTATACCATGTGCTTGTTAAGACAGGTAGTTGGCCGTGTGTTTCGACTTTTCGTTCGGTTCAGACGTGTTACATAAGCATGCCTTTTCGGAGCTATCTTTTCGAATGCTGTTTTTTTCTTACAGAAGTTTTTTGGCGATGTATTTCTCAATGCATTAATGCGGGCATAATTAGCATTTCATTCGGATACCCTTACCCAAAATGCCCTCAGACAAGGATGAAATCCACAAAATGTTCTACACAGTAAACGAGCGAGTCGGATCAATAATGGAGGTTTCCCCGAATCAGCAGAAAAAAGGGAAACATAAGTATCTGGTTGTCACAGGTTTACGCGTTTACTACTATTTACTTTTTAGTCACTATTACAAAACCCCATGTGATTCAGATTTACGCCGTCAAAAACCTTGATGGAGAATTTCGTAAAACTCTCATCTGTAACATTAAAAGTCTCAAGAAGCTGGACTGCCGCGACACGAAAACACAACCCACATATGACGTACAGCTCATCACTGAGTTAAAGGTATTCATATTCTCACGACGAGCATCCTATTCCTTTTATTCTTGTTTTAATTGTTGGTTGGGTTTGCGATTTCCTCTCTATTCGTTCTTTTTTCACGAGTCTTTTTATCACTTATACCACTCACTCAACTTCCCTTGTCTGAGTTACATCTCTAGTTGCCCATTGGGACGAGACTTGACGTGGTGCGGTTTATCTGCCTCTGTGACCCATTGAGCCACGCTGGGTGGCACTTTCCAATTGCGTCCATAACCACTCACACCAGACAGGTCTATGCTTAGGGGTTAGACTAACTCAGTCTTGCCATCCTCCCCGGTGGCTTGGGACAGATCGATGACCCTCTTCCCTTAAAACCGATTATCGTAGAGCACGCATTGTTTCAGACTAGTGGGAGGGTTACGTCCGGTGCTCGATGGTTTGATACCGCTCGCCTCAAGCCAGTCAGCCCATGGTCAAATTTGTGCAAACCCGCTGACTCCCTTCTGCGGCTGACTGTGATCGCACTTACTTAACACTACGGTCGTAAAATATGTGCATTGCACTAAATCTTCACAGACTGCGTGTGATAGTTTTCACGTAGATTCCAGTGGGTCTCTGCGATCACACTCCCGAGCTGAATCTGCTCCCTACTGCCTTGTGGTTATTGAGTCAAAGACCTAGTGTGCAGTCCCTCATGCGAATTTCCTTCTGTCCCACTGCCTTGTGGGTCAGACTGTTGGGTCAAAGGCCAGAGTTAGGGCACCTCGAACAAAACCTCTCTCGGAATGGGCAACCGAAGAGTATCACTTGCCATCTTGACCCTGCCTACAATGCTCTCTGTTCTTCCTCTTGTTTTTCCCATACTTATCAACTCTCTTGTCTACTGTATAAGAGACTACTGCTGACCTCGCAGCTGCTGCCATCGATACATGTAGCTTGTGTATCAGACTTAGTCTCATTTCACACCGCCTCTTTTAATGTCCGCACTCTGCGTCAGGTTGGTCAAAAGGAAGCACTAACTCTCACTCTTCACTCTCTTGTTATTGGTATGTGCTGTCTCCGAAACACGCATATAGGATAACAAAATTCTGGTTCTACATTTACCGACGATGACTACACTCTTCACGTCTCTGGCTATACTGAGTCGATTGCTTAGGATATTTACAGTGTTGGTATCGCCCTCAGTAAACATGCCGAAAACAGTCTACTCGACTGGATGCCGGTGAGCAGCTGCATGGAGGCGTGGTTTAAATTCGAGCCTCTGTTGGAATAATTAACCACGGTCTGACGACAACGTGCCTTTTCATCGCTTCCGTTTATACCCTTGATGAAAGAAGTTCAGAGGGTATCAAAGACGATTTCTATCAACAACTCCTCATTTTGCTTGCGACAAATGCTGACGTCTTGCTTGTTGCTGGTGACATTTTTACCCAAGTGGGTCGTCTTTCAGACACTGAACAACACCTAGGAGGTCACTTCGGAGTCGATGCACGCCGAACATATAATGGTGATCGGTTCCTGCAACTGTGTGCCGACCACAACCTTTTTTTAGCAGCACTGCTTTCTGGCAGAAACCTTCATCAGGGTTTGTGTCTTACTAGTACGACATACTATTTTTAATATGGACCAATGGGTTAAATTAGGGTACTTGTTACTTGCATGAGTCTATATTCTCCGGGTGACGCGGTGTTACAGCTCTAAGGCTGCCTATCAGGATAGCGCGATATTTACAAGATAGCATTTTCGATGAATTTTAAAGTTTTCTTTCTAATAGTAGGCGGCGTTCCTTCTTGGATACTGTATGGGTGCCAGGATACATGGGTTTTACATTTGGTTCACTTTTTCCCCGCTTATTCCTCATTAGTGGTTTCATCATAATTGCAGAGAAAAATAACAGTATAGAGTGCAGATATGCTGCAGTTAATGCATCTTACTGTTCTTTTTTAGTCCTTCATTATACTGTACATCTCACAGAGTACATCGGCGAATAGCCGACCTCAATGTCATTCGTGTTGTTTCTTTGTCTCTCCTCTCACATCTAGCTCGCCCCTCCATCCACAGTCTCATTTCTGATGCATAATATATTTAATTGTTTTATGATTCTTCTTTTTCCTTATTACTATCTCTATGTGTTGCGACAATGGCTGAGGTGTTCCTCACCTTTAGCTAACGTTTACTGATTTGATGCAGTTTACCTCGAAGTGCATTTTGCGTAGGAACGAACACGGCATTGTTTCGACTCCCTCTCTCATTTCATATCAGACATGGAACTTTCGTGCCACAAAGTTGGAAGCAAAAGGTGAATTCGTCAGCGCATTTTGTCGGATTACCGCTTCTCTGCAACCTCAATGGTTCAAAGCCATCCAGCTTGCGAATATGCCGGCTAACGTGACCATTTCTAATCTGTCATCGGATCAATCTTTGGAAAGCTTGCTCAGTAAGTTTCCTGCTAGCTTTTCAACTTTTGATGCGATTTCGATTGAAACACTGGTTTCCCAAACCTCCAATCCCAAGCAAAAGCAAGCATGATCTTTCCTTCTAACAATCTCTTGATGCTCTGGCCGTCGCAGAGGATAACGAACGGCGCTCTTTCTGCTGCATCGAGCATGTTAAATAGGGGCTTGGATTCTACTACTCAGGCTACGTCGCTTTGAGCGCATCGACATCAGACAGCTGGCGAAGCCAGGTGTTCTGAGCGCGTATTAAACTACGCTGAGTAAGCGTCCACTGAACACTGTCGAAGATCACTGGTCGCATATTCGTCAAACGTTACTCTCAGCAGGCATGTGGCAAATCAAATTGCTAACCTAGACACTGTCTCTACGCAGTCCTTGGAACTTTTGGATGCTCGCCGATGTATTCCGGCTGGGAGCGAATACAAAGGGACTCGCAAAAATCTCAGGGCAAAACTGCGTGCTAGCCTGAAGAGAGTTTGCGAAGCCTGGTGGTCTCATCGTGCATCGAAAATGGAAACAGCCGCTGCCGTTGATAATCATCGTAAGTTATTCCGTCTGATACGGGAAACAGTCAACAGGAGACCTGGTATTAAGGAGACAGTACGCGAAGAGAATGGACAGTTCATCCACAGCTTGTCAAAATGCTTGGAGCGTTGGATACGATCACTTTGCAAGGCAGTTTAACCAATCTGAGTTATCGTCTTCTCTTTCGGGCATTGAGTGCCCTTCTCTATGGGCCGTCTCCTTAGATCCACCCTCACGTAAGATCAGACTGTTGAAATTGCATAAGGCCGCTGGTGCAGACAGAATTCCCTCAGTTCTCTACAAATTCGGGAGACCTGCTCTTGTAGATGATTTACACTAGTTGCTAATGGAACTTTGGGGAGTTGCTAATGGAACTTTGGGAGCTAATGGAACTTTGGGTCCCAGTGTTCAAGGGATGCTCCCGTTCAGAATGCGGCAACCATAGAGAGCAGCCTGATCTTAATTGCCTCTGTCGTTCTCCACAGACCGACTGGCGCTCGTGAAGGCCAGATTCGTGAAGAGCAAGCCGAGTTTCGTCGAAATCGAGGCTGCATCGACCACATCTTCATTTTGCGTTAATTGTTGGAGCACCGCCATGTTTATTGGTGACCCACCGTAGTCGTGTTTCTTGACATTAAAGGTGCCTTCGATTTGGTTTAACGATGTGCCCTTTGGGACTGTCTGCTGAGAAAAGCTGTGCTCGATAAATATGTAAACATTATCAAAGCGCTGTACGCGCATAGTTCGGGCAGAGTGAAGGTCTTTGGCAAACTGTCTGAGCCCTTCGATATCTCCAGCGGTATGAGACAAGGTTGCCCGCTGTCACCTATCCTCTTTAACTTCGCTGTTGATGGTGTCATGGAAACTGGGTTCGCTGGACATGACCTAGAAGGTTTGGAGCTACTTCCTGGTGAACGACTTCCTTACTTGGAGTATGCTGACAACATTGCCTTCATATGTGACAGCGCCCAAACGTGCCAGGTTGCACTAAACCGATTAGCACTGGTTGTCACTCTTTTTTGGGCTATGCTTTGCTCCATCGAAATGCGTAGTTCCTCTCCAAGCTTCGCAGGGACCCACTCCTGCTCTGATCCTTGGTTGTGATCAGCTAGAAGTCGTTTAGGAATTCAAGTATTTAGGCAGCTATATTAGCACCCGTGGGATGGAAGCTGCGATTACGAACCGTATAGCAAAAGCTTGAGGTGCTTTTGCCAATCTCCGCTACCTGTGGCGCAGACGCGACATCACTCTTTCCCTGAAGGGTAGAGTGTATAATGCAGCCATCGGTTCCTCCCTCTTATACGGCTGTGCAACTCGTCCATCAGGTCTACATATTTAAAGAGGCTGGTCACGTTCGATCATCGCTTCCTTCGTAACTTAACTCCTGTCTGGTGGGAGCACCGCGTGAGCAATGAGTTTGTTCGGTGTCGGGTATTTGGTGCAGGAAGAGCGAGTGAACCGCTCAGCACCAGTATATCACGCACCAGGCTCCGATGGCTGGGCCACATGTTGCGTATACCAGCACACTGACTCCCGCGACGTGCATTGTTTGCGCGCCGTGGGTGCGGTTGGAAGAGGATGAGGGGAGGCCAAGCGATGACTTGGTCGAGAGAAATAAAGACCTTTACTTCGAAGTTGGCGTCGGTTGGTGGATCCCGACTGCCTTGCTGGGGTCTTAAGGACGATGAATAGGTTTAGTTGGATACACTTGCTGATATGATTGAGAGCCGGCTCCAATGGCGTCTGTGTTGTCAGTTCCTTTGTCCATCCCCTTCCCCTCCAATCACGATCCCATTCGCTAAGCATAATATAACTTGCGGCACGATAGCCGGCTGTTAGCTCTCCGGATCAATGTCCATCCGTTACTGGAGACTCAGCCGGCGTGCCGCTTTGTCATTTACTTCCTGTCTTTTGTATTGCCACACTAGCTATTTTCCACCTACAGATAACGTGTATACTGATGATAGTGATGACTTTACAGGAAATATGTTACAGAACTCGCTGCCGGCACGATAGATTTAGTGTGCGAGTCAACCTACATTTATAAGTCAACTCAGAAATTATTACGTTTTAGATCTACTCGGATAGCTGTTCAAGCTTGTAGTTTGGTTCCTCTCCGACCAATAAGAAAGTGCGTACATGCGTCATGCATCGGATTGGAATGTTCTTAAAACGATTCGATTCTTCCACTGTACACTCACGTCGCTCTCTCATAGAAAGAATAACTTTTCTTGGAAGATTCTACCTCATTTTGTGAATTTCTGCAGTCTACACCTGCAACTTCTCACGGTTTCATTGCTTAGTTCGTTTATCTATCATATATTCCTCATGTCGGTAACTGCGCTAACCGGACTACTTCCACCTGAATTACTTCATATTTTTATAGCTGATTTCTATCAGTTTATGCCTCTGTTTCCTAGGTGTCTGTGTGCCTTGCTTCATGCGAATGAGGATGACAATGTTTACGAATGATAAAATAACACACTGACGACAACAGTACATTAGCCACTTGAACTGATGCTCCGCTTCCATACAACCATGATCACCTATGGAATAAAGAATAATAAGAGGGAGAGAATGGGGACTTACCTGAAAACCTTAATGCTTTAAGTAAACATTCAGGGTCAAGGCGCCTACACCTTGTGCAGTCAACATACCGTCACAAACAGCTGGCTATCGTGCAAAGATAACGCGACATCGGCGAGACAGCTACCTTGCGGCTTGCATTACTTCGCGTCATAATCAGCCATTACGCCGCAGATAACTCAGCACCAAACACACTTTAAACAGGCAATCCGATTAGCAGACGCGCCACTGGTGTCGACTTCGAGCCATGTCCCGTAAAGTCTCGAGCCAAGCACAAGTCCAGTCACGTGGACTCACTCCATCCCGGAAAGCGAGACGGACCAACGGCACCTAGATTGGCCGTCAGTGACTTCATTTTCCGATGCCGTCAATTTCTGTCCACCACGAGCTTTGCGCCATTCTACATCTGACAGACTAAACAAGACCCTCATAAGTAAGCGGTGACCACCCATATGTAACACGTGCCCAAGGCAACGCAATTTATTCCGTGCTATCTGTTGTTCTAGGGAGTTACATGATTATCACTACCTAGTACTCGCCTACGCACATCGTCGTTGCCGGCAAACTGGTAGCATCCGATACCAGCATTGCTTCGCAGACAAGGACGATCAAGAACTTGAAGGCGCCTCAGATCTTCAGACCGAAGGGGCCTAGTCTCACTACCATAGAGAAGAACAGCCCTCACTGTGACCTCGTATACACAGACTTTCAGACGGAGAGAAACCCCCTTCTGTCACCAATGATGTCACAGGTTCAAGAAGACAGCTCTGGCCTTTGCAGCTCGTGAGCTGACGTCAGTTTCTATGCGCCCATCATTGCTGATGCAGCTGCCAAGATAAGTGAAATGATCAACCACCTCGAGTTCCTCGTTATTAGGAGTCAAGAGGCCATCAATTAGCTGGTGGTCCTGCAGCAACACTTTGCACTTTTAAGGTGAAAAGCGCATACCAAATAATGGGACCACTCTGGACAGGCTATTCATTTTATGATTGTGCCGCCGCAACATCGTCCACATAATTAAGATCTACTAACCTTTCACCAGACAGCACTTCAACTACATTGTGAGATTTTGCTAGGGAACACTCCATGATAGAACCCACGACGAAATTGAACAAAACATGGGACATTGAACAACCCTGACGAACGCCGCTTGTGGTCGGAAAGCTATCCGACAGGTCACGGTAGACCCTGACGCGGCCTCTAGTGTTCGAGTACAGTGCACGTAGGATGTTCACATATTTCGTGGGAACACTTTTTCGCGCAAGTATTTCGAACAGAATCAATCGATCGATCGACTGAATCGAACGCACTGTTGAAATCGAGGAACACAGATATTGTCGGTCTGCGATATGCGTGGCGCTGCTCTAGCACCTGCCGCAAAGTGAATATATGGTCTATACAGCCACGTCCTGGGAAGAAACCGGCCTAATCTTTCCTAATCCGAGATTCCCTTTCCACAGTGAGGCGATGAACGAGAATCTAGGCCAGTAATTTTGTCACAACTGGCGTTAACCCAATACCCCTGTGGATAGAACAGACTATATATATTGCCACTGTGTGTATATGTGTATATTGCCACTATAATCGATTCGCTCCAATTAGCCGGGACACTCTTCCTTCCAGCTACGTTCGATTAGGGAAATCAGTTCTTCGCAGCGGACCTCACCTCCATCCTTAAATAGTGCAGGTGGGAGAGAATCTGGGACAGCGGCACGAAAACGATTGAGGGCTGTGATCGCGTTTCGGACCTCGGCCTCCGACAGAGGCTCTAAACTAACCGTCCATGGCTCGTCCTGCATCACCTGAGTAGGAATATATATATATATATATATATATATATATATATATATATATATATATATATATATAT